AATAAAATGTCACTTTCGAACATTAGTTCTGGGTGTATGATTACACTTTATAAGTAGCGTTTAAAACTGCGACATTCTTGAGAAAATATAAGTTATTTAGGATTTTGTTGGGAGGTGTTTCGTAATTTTGAACATTTTTTATTTTGATGTCGTGTCTTTACTGGATCTAATCTAATCTACTATGTATGTACTTGAACACAAGACAGAATAGTTTATATTTTCTGTATTGCCTAGAACTGGTTTCTGAAAATTAAGAAGCTTTAAAACCATTAGGTGTTTCTCAAATTACTCTTTCTGAATGGAAAAATCGCTTCCATCCATTTTTTCAAGCCAGAGCCAGAATACGACCAATCCATCTCCAGCATTGATTTAATAATGACCTTTTAAATAATAGATAGAAGCCAGCGAATATGATCGCAATTTGTTCCTAGGAATCCTAGTCGTAAGTAATGCCCAAAATTGCCCATCATGTGCCAAATTTGATGCATTACAGTTTTCATGTTTATTTTTTTATGTAGGTACCCTGTTTCACTGTTCGCGATCTCGGCAATAGTCGGGGCGGTTAGTCGAATAATCTTGCAAATTGTGATAAAAGCATGAAATTTGGTACAGATGATTTTTTTACAGTTATAAGCGATTTGACCCGCATGATCCCCTTGTCGGACCGATAGGAGCAAGATGGCGACCATTTGCAATATGGCGGCTATTATATATAATTAAAATTGGTAATTGTGAATCGATTTCAGCAAAATTGGGGTCGTTTTCGAATAATTTTTGATCGGAAAATGTGAGAAAATATATAATTAAATGATTGAAATTTGAATAATACAGGGTGTCCTAGCCGAGAGTGACCCATTTAAAATGCTCATAACTTTTGAACCAAGTATGCTAGCCACTTGCGGTTTGCGTCATTCGACTACTTTTGGCCTAAAGTTTTTTTTTTTGGTTAGTTGCTCATTTCTTTGATACTTATACCGGGCCAGTAAAGAAAATGCAGTTTTTCTACATCGAAATTCTCCACTATTTTCAATGGAACATCCTGTATATTACAATGTCAAAAAACCGAGTCATGTTCAAGGTATCCATGTACCAATAAACATCGTCCTTGAAACTTAAAAGTTTCAGCCGTAAAAAATTTAAATCGAAATCCTGGGTATTTTTGCAAACACATTTTTTATAAGCATATTCACAAAGCTTCGAAATTATCTTTGTCTGATAAAAAGGTAATAATCTGGATAAAACTGTAAAAAGAGATGTATATGTTGGCTATTTTGCTCCACGCATTTATGGAGTCAGATCAGTAAATAGTTGAAGGAATTATGTAACATTTTCTGAGGAATCGTTTCAATGACATTACGAATGTTCCGCTTGATCTTCCAGGCTATTTGGCAAAGGATTATACTCTCCTTGATATAACCCCAGAGAAAAAAGTCTGGAATTTTCAAGTCAGGAGAGTAAGGTGCCCATTCTATAGAACCAGCTCTTCCTATATCCATCTTTCCCCAAATATCATATCTAGTGATTCTCTTGATATTAACGAATAATGAATAACGAGGTGAGGCACTATCCTGCTGAAAATAGATCTCATATAAGATACACTCCAACATGTAGTTGCATGCGTTTGCAAAAATAAGTAGGTACCAGGATTTCGATTTTAATTTTTTACGGCTAAAACTTTAAGCTGCAAGGACGATGTTTATTGGCGTCATGGATACCTTGAACACGATTCTTATTTTGACGTTGTGATATTGTGATATACAGGGTGTTTTATTAGAAAAAGTGGAGAATTTCCATGTTGCAACAGCAGTTTTTTTACTGGCCCTGTACAAGTATCAGAAAAATTTGCAACTAACTAAAAAAAATATTAGGCCAAGTGCAAACCGTAGGTAGCCGGCACACCTGGTTTGTAAATTATAAGGATTTGAAATAGTTCACTCTCGGCTGGGACACCCTGTATAATCAAATTTCAAATTTTTATGACCTCTGTTTAGAAATGTTATCAACAGAATATATTTTCACCCCTATATTACTACGTACCTATAATGTATCGAGTGATCGGCGGCGGGAAGAGGGTTGGTGTGCAAGGGGTAGGGGGCACGAAAGATGTGGAATTTAGCGAACTAAAAATTAATTATCTATAGATTAATTTTAAAAAAATATTTTTTTCTAATGAAATACCGTAAAATGGGGTTATTTTGCGCCATAAGGGGATAAATTACGCCAGTTGAGAAAAAAGTTCATAAATATTTTCCAGAGAGATTCAATGAAGTGAACCAATCAAACGCTTGGGCTTATTCATGGTTGCATATGCCTCCATAGATTACCCTTTGAGTTGGAGCGTTCAAGAACTCCTAAGGGGTTTTGGCGCGAAAGTAAACATTAATGGTCAAAACGGTGTCATATACGCTCTGCAAAAATCTAGGTATATCGTGTACATCTATTGTTATAGAACAGGTAAATAATTTTTTATTATATCTTTGATGTATTATTCAGAAACTATCACCAATATTTTTTTTTCATAACAATATACAAACATTTAAAAAAAAATAATTCTTTGAAGTGTCAAAATATAGAAAATATGGGGATACTTTGCACCACGCGATAACTGGCGCAAAGTATCATTCGCATCTGTTCAAATTTGTATTGCCTTGTTTTTCCAATGGTGGCGCAAAGTATTTCGTTCCAATGAGATATTTTTTAAGAGATGCTTAGAACGCACGAAAGAAAGACTTGAAGCGAGAAGATATACAGTGATTATAGTAAAGAATTACTTGAAGCATGTTTGGAAGAAGTCAGAACTGGACATTTTTTACATAGGAAAGCAGAGACGAAATACAATATTCCGAGGAGGACAATGTATAATAAATTGAAAGGAAAAAACCCCATGCCGATTAGAAAACCGCCTGTGTTTAATGCCGACGAAGAAAACCAATTTGAGAAGTGTATAATCTCCATGGGAGAATTTGGCTTTTCCGTAAATATAAGAGAACTTCGACACATCATGAAAAATTATCTCGAACAAGCTGGAAGACAAGTTAAATTGTGGACCAAATGGCCTACTCCTGGGATGACGTATTAGGGTCCATAGATCCACCTGTCCAGGTCTCTAAGAGAGGATTGTTCAATGTTGCTGAGTTGAAATCATGGTGGTTTTAGACTTATCATTTGGTGTTGTATTAAAACCAAATATTACCCATTATTTTTACAGAATAACTGCTGTTTTTTTTTAATTAAAAATCAGAAAATAATTTATTTTTTTGTATGTTTCTGAATTTCTCTTGATTTTGACCAATAAACGTGACAAAAAAAAACAAATGCTGTTTTATATGATAAAATGGAGTCATACAATCTTACCAATGCTATAACTTTGCTCCACAGATTAATATAGCGTTGGTTACAGTTAGTTAAATTTGGTGGAGCAAAGTTGCCCCTCCAAATGGTATGGTTTGCGCTACTTTTAATTAAAAAAAATAAAATACCTAGAATTATTTTTTCTCATTTTTTTTTAAAAAACTTGCTTCACGAACTTGTCTTTATTATCTTATTCATTTTTGAAATTTTACCTATTTTCTTTCAATTTTTTCCATGCCATTTTATTTATTTAATGTTAAAACTGGAGCAAAGTAACCCCACTTTACGGTAGGTAGTTATTTTCCTAACAAGTGCGGAAAGTATCATTTTTCCGCAAATGTTAAGAACACAATTTTTCCTACGAGTAGACAATAAAAAATACAAAAATAAAAGAATAAATAAATCTATATTAGGCAATTAACAACATTTTTTATTTATGTTTAACTATTTTAATGGTGAATGTTCAATTTTCAGCAAATTGTAAATTTATCGCTGATGCATATCGTAGGTCAACACGACGCGACCACGTGCGAAAAATTACGCTTTCCGCAGGCCAATGCGTGCGGAAAAAGAGCTTTAGATACCTACATTTTGTTTTTTTTACATAGTTTGAATATAACTATAGTAAATTCCTCAAAAAAATTAAAAGAATAATCTTTTCTGAGTTAAGATTATATTGTAATACAAAAAACATGTTCTGTTGTATTTTTTGACCCAAAATTATTCGAAAACGACCCTAATTTTAATAAAATTGATCCGCAATTGAAAGGTATAATTTCTTGGTCCGCCATTTTGCGAATGGGCGTCATCTTGCTCCTCTACTGGCCCGGTATAAGTATCAAAAAAATGAGCAACTAAAGAAAAAAACAAAAAAAAAAATTTAGGCCAAGAGAAGTCGATTGGCGCAAACCGCAGGTGGCTAGCATACTTGGTTCAAAAGTTATGAGCATTTGAAATGGCTGGGACACCCTGTATTATTCAAATTTTAATCGAAAAAATTTTAATCGAAAACGACCCCAATTTTGCTGAAATCGATTCACAATTTCCAATTTTAACCTCTTGATAGCCGCCATTTTGCAAATGGTCGCCATCTTGCTCCTATGGGTCATGCGGGTCAAATCGCTTATAATTGTAAAAAAATCATCTGTACGAAATTTCATGCTTTTATCACAATTTGCAAGATTCTGCCCATATTTTGGATTAACCGCCCCGACTACAAAGCATTTGAGTGTGTAAATCTTGTGACATCCTGCGTCAACGCAGCGTTTGACTCATATTCATAATTTTTGAAAGACAGATTGTTTTATTGTCGATTAGACCTACAGGAAAACCACACCACGTGTAAATAAACGCGCGTACTCGACCTCAAAGATATTGAGGAATCGAGAAGACTGTTGCAATATGATATACGCACTTATTATGTAGAAACCAATTATCTTACAGAAAAATTGTAGGACCTATGTTATTTTCTAATTAATATTTTTTTCCGTTATTTTTCCCAAGAAATTCAGATGTGACATATACCGAGTAGGTACCTACTAAAAAAAAATTACTATACATACTCAAAGTTTTAAAAAATTTGATCCGATAATATCAATTTTTCTATCATAAAAAATTACGCTTGTACAAAATGTCGATGTTTCACTTACCCGAAAGTTGAAGAAAATATTGGATTTTTATAAACAACTTTCGACCGACGAAACTACATGTATAATCTCTAGTTGATTAGTAACTGAAAATAAAAAACAATATTTGTTAATAATACATTGGGAAAATAGATACTCGAACTCGAGTGTTTTTGCTAAGGCTTTTATTAATTTTATAAATTGTATTGAAAAGAAGCATTCAAGGACTACCTTGAAATGATAAGGGTTTTGAAATTATTGATTGTCGATTGAAAAACCACTCAAAGATGAACGCTTTTGCGAAGGGTTTGTTGCCGGGAATTTTGGTAAAATTGAACTTTAAAGCCTTGTTAATCTATTTCAATAGTAATAACCAATGAAGTCGAAAAATATACAGACCCATTTATTTACATGTTTTTGCGATCAGCCATCAATAGTAGACAGATTATCTACTGTATTGTATGTCTTAAGGCCGGTTTAGCCAACTAATAGTGTATAATGCACAATTCAAAATTCTTAATTCACAATTCATAATAGCCAATGTTTAATGCAAAGGCAAAACGAGTGTTTAGACAGCGCCTAATTATTTGTGCATTATGAAAGTGACAGCTCACTTTTTTGCTCTTTGTTATTATTATCAATATTGAAATATCAATTTTAATTCAAGCTTAATATTGTTTTACTTATTTATTCACGATGAAGGTAAACAAGGGTTGAAGGCAATTAAATTGAAAAATTTTGCCACTGGTGACAGATGCATGCGCACAGGCCAAATTTTACTGTGATATAGTGCTTAATGCTTAAAAAGTTAAAGGTTGGTCAACTTTGTGAATTGTGAATTATGCACTAAATTACGAATTACGCACCAAGAGTTGGCTAAATGGGTACATATAAAACTGATGTTTTAAAATTAAGCATCAGGAATTAAGAATAGGGTAGTGGACAAGGTATTATTTCAATGAAATCGATGACCCATTCTTTATCTATGAAGTAAATAAAAAATATTGGTATCAAAAGAAATTTCAGAAAAAAATACTAACTTTGTTTGAAACGGTTGTGAAACTAATGTTTTGGGATTTGTAGATTGTAGATTGCGGGGGAGTCGTTTCGGCTTTTTCAGCCGCTCGGCACTGCAGATATTTTGTACATGACTCTACATCTCAAATTGTCTCCAGGAAGCGTAGACTTCTGCCGAAGGAAGCTATTTTCCTGGGTGTTAGTTGGCCCACCTTTTCTGGTGACAGTGTTGCCCCCTCGAGAAATTTGAGCCTCTTGCAGAATTGGGCTGGACATTCGCAGAGCAGGTGCTCTGCGGTCTCTATTGCGTCTGAGCAGAATCTGCAGAAATCGTCTTCCGCTCTGCCCATTAACCTTAGATGGTATTTTACTGGGCAGTGTCCTGTGAGCAGTCCCACCACCAATCTGATGTCTGGTCTGCTCATGCTTAGGAGCTGTTCAGCTCTTTTTGCTGAAAGGGTAATAAACCTTTTAGACTGTCTGAGTCCCGGTGTGTGCCTCCAGTATGATGACAGTTGGTCTTTCTCCCATTTATTGAGTTCTTCCATGATGTGGCTTTTCATTAGGCCACAGTAGGGCTCTGGTCCATGGTATGGTGTTGAGGCCCCTTCCTTTGCGAGGCCATCTTCTTCATTACCTTCTATATGCCTCGATGACCAAGGAGCCACATCAGCGTTACCTGGTTGTGTGTCGCTAGTGTTTTTAGGGTCTGTTCACACTCCCAGACTAGTTTTGACGTGCATTTAAAAGCCCTTAAGGCTTTTAAGGCAGCTTGGCTGTCCGATAGTATGAAGATGTATTTTCTTTTGAGGCTTTGGCTAAGACACTCTTGTGCACATATATCTATGGCAAGCAGTTCGGCTTGGAATATTGTAAGATGTTTACCCAATGCCTTGGAGAGTTTGAAGTTAGGGCCGGAGATGCCCAGTCCAGCTCCTTCCATTAGCTTGGATCCATCTGTGTACCACAGAGATGCATTGTCTGCTTGTGGCAATTCGTTATTCTCCCATGATTGGCGGTCGTTTATTACCACTGCGAATGGGATGTCTAAGTCCAATCTGACCATCATGTGGTCGCTTGGTTTGCTGGCATTCTCCAGTTTTATTAAATCAAGGATTCGCAAATGTCCCCTCAGATCACCAGGCTTGAACTTGTCTATTTGGAATAGCCTGTGAGCGCTGGTTATTGCCTCCTTTTTCACACATAGATGAAGTGGGGGCATGTTGAGTAGCGTCTCTAAGGCTGCGGTGGGGCAAGTTGACATTGCTCCCGTTATTCCTGAGCAGTGACTTGTTGGGTTTTGGGCCACCACACCAATGAGGCGTATGTGACCATGGGTTTTATTATAGTTTGGTAAATCCAGAATACCATCTTTGGCTTTAGCCCCCATGTTTTGCCAACAAGTTTTCGGCATGACCAAATGGCTGATGTAGCTCGAGAGCATGTTTTCTCTAACTGTTTGTTCCAAGTGAGGGTTCGGTCCAGGGTGACCCCGAAGTACTTCACTTCGTTGGAAAATGTTAGTTATGTACCGTTAAGGGTCGGGGCTTTCAGATTTAGCCTCCTTCTTCTTGTGAACGGGACAAGGATTGTTTTGTTTGCGTTTAGGGATAATCCTTCGTCTTCGCTCCAATTATTAACGATGTTTAGGGCACTTTGCATTCGGCTTGTCACTACGCCTTCATGTTTGCCCTTGATTACAATGGCTAGGTCATCTGCGTAGCCTATGACCTGGTATCCAGCACTACTCAGTCTGGTAAGAATTTTGTCTACCACCAGTGTCCATAGTAGTGGAGAAAGAATACCCCCTTGAGGACACCCTCTGACCGTGGTAGCGGTAGCTGATGCTCCGTTTATTTCAGCCGTAACGTGACGGTTTTTCAGTATCGACTCTATCCATTTTACAATTGGAACTTCAACATCCCATTCTTGTAATGTTCTGGCGATTGATTGATGTGAGGTGTTGTCAAAGGCACCCTCTATGTCGATGAAAGCTGTGAGAGCGATCTCTTTGCACTCGATTGTTTTTTCAATGTCTTTAACCAGGCAGTGTAAAGCACTTATTGTGGATTTGCCTGGCTGATAAGCAAATTGCTTCGAGTAGAGCGGTCTTCTCAATAGTGTTTCGCTTCTGATGTACTGGTCGATTGCTTTCTCCATTGTCTTAAGGAGAAAGGAGGTTAGACTAATGGGACGATATGATTTTGGTTCGTCCTCGGGTCGGCGACCCGTTTTTGCTATGAATATCACATTAGCCTCCCTCCAAGATAGCGGTATGTGCCCTAGGAGCAGGCTTGCCTTAAAAAGCTTTTGCAGGTGTACCTTTAAGTACTCGTAGCCTTTTTGCAGTTGTGCGGGAAAAATCCCGTCTTTGCCTGGAGATTTGTAGGGTCTGAAGCTATCGATCGCCCATTTTATTCTGTTCATTGTGAAGATTTTCCCAGCCAGCCTTTTGCTCCTGCCGTTAGGGCTTTGTGGCCCTTCGATAGGCGGAGTGACCTGGTTCAGGGCTTTAACGATTACCGAACCTGGAAAGTGAGTTTGTAGTAGTACCTCTAGATTTTCTATATGGTCGGTACAATGTTCTCCGTTTGGCTTTTTAAGCAGACCAATTCCGTTTGAGTGGTTTTTTGAAAGAACTTTTTGGAGACGTTGAGCTGGGGCTAATTCGTCAATACCCTCGCAGAATTTTCTCCATGATTTCCTTTTTGATTTTCTTAATTCACGGTTGTACTTGTCTAGGGCTGTTCTATAGTCTGCCCAGTTGCCGTTAGTTTTTGCCTTGTTGAACAGTTTTCTGGCATCTTGTTTCAGACGTCTCAGCTGCCCGTTCCACCAAGGCACATCCCTGTGGACTGCCTTCTGTTTTACGGGACAACTGTTCTCATAGGAATCTTTTATTTAATAAAAGATTTTTTAAGTAAATTTTAATACTTATATATTTCCACAATTTTTTGTTAAACTTTTAACATGTTTCGCTAAACTTTAGCTTCATCAGAAAGATTTTAGAAAAATAAAATGTAGACATAAAAGTGAAATTGACAAATATAAAAAAGGTAAAAGCTGGTCTAATTTTATGTTAATTTAAATAGGTATTACACAGTAAATAAATTTAAAAGTGGTGAATTGTTTAAATCTAATTGGTCGTTCAATAAACAGTCTAAAGTTTTAAGTTTGTTTTAAATTAACATAAAATTAGACCAGCTTTTACCTTTTTTATATTTGTCAATTTCACTTTTATGTCTACATTTTATTTTTCTAAAATCTTTCTGATGAAGCTAAAGTTTAGCGAAACATGTTAAAAGTTTAACAAAAAATTGTGGAAATATATAAGTATTAAAATTTACTTAAAAAATCTTTTATTAGATAATGGATTTCCACCAAGTAAAAGCCGATTCAATCAGAATCTTTTATTGCATTTGTTAGATTGTCAGATGATGCCTCTAGCTCTTCTATTGTATTTATGTCAGAAGGGAGTTCATCTAGACTCAGGCAGAGACCCTCCACAAAGGATACCCAGTCGGTGGGCTTTGGGATTCTCATCTGTACTGAGTGATTTATTACTGCCTCTAAGTCGAACCTTATTGCTTGATGGTCCGACAGGGAGGGTTCATTTGACACAAGCCAGTACAAGACATTAGCCGTACCTCGGTCACAGGGCTTCGGAGTCGCGCGCATCAAATTATTGTCAGTCCTAGCCAGCGTTCCACAGATGATCACTGATCAGCTGATTATTTGTTTATTGTTTTAAGCCCCAAATTATGTTATCGTAATCTGAAAATATGTACTTTCTGCCCTGCCTGACAATTTTTGAAAAAATAAAATTCAGGGTTTGAGGGTTTACGGTTCATGTTCATTTCTTGAAAACCTAAATTTCGGATTTTTTAAATTTTAATGTTTTTGATTCAAATTTTTTCAGCACGAATAGCTTCTTTCTTTTAGACAGAAAATGCAGACTAACCCAAACTAACCTGTCCATCTAGTGGGATCTAGTCCTCATAAGTTACCTACTATTTTATTTAAAAAAAAAACAAGTTAGTTTAGTTTAGAGCATGAGTCCCTTGAGCGCGCTTTCACTAGACGATCGGTTATTTTGGGTTAGTTTGCATAGGCCTGTTCTAAATAATTGAACATAAAGAGAATC